ATGCAGTGATGAAAATGTTCTGTGTGTACTGTCCAGTACAGTAGCCACCAGCTACTCTGAGGGGGTTGGGGGGGGCTACATCATGGGAAATGTCGCTGGTGTGAATGAGGAACTAAATGTTTAATTGTATTTAAATTTAATAACTCAAATAGTTTCACATGGCTATCAACAACTGTATTGGACAGGGCAGCCCTAGAACATGAATGGAGGCCCTTAGAGCACAGATGCACACTTCTGACTTTTGTGATCCTCCTGAATATCCCCTGGATGATAAGTGGGAGACCTAGAATGCAGGCTGAGACCTTGACACTCATTCTCTTTCCCCTATGCCCCAGTATATGAATGGGGGAACCCTAGAACAGCTGCTCAGCTCCCCCGAGCCCCTATCCTGGCCAGTCAGGCTCCGCCTAGCTCTGGATATTGCCCGAGGCCTGCGGTACCTGCATGCTAAAGGTGTATTCCACCGAGACCTCACATCCAAGGTAGGCTGGCAAGGTGGGTGGAGGCATGACTATTAGGTTATAATGTATTAGGCCCGATGGATGTTGGAATGTGGATAATAGATATATTAGGATATTAGAGTGGCAAGGTATTGGGGAAACCCGGGGTCCTAGGGTGAGAGGCTCTGAGGGACTAATAACTATCACACTGTTTAAAGTGTTGGACAATATTGCAATATTGGGGTGCACTGGAGAACTGGGAGAAAGGTTGGGGTTATGCTGGAGTGACAGAGCTTTGGGGTATATATATTGAGAGACCAGAGAGCAAAAGGTGATAAGTGTGTGAGGATGCCTATATGTGTGTATCAGAACTGTCTGGTCCGACGGGAAGACCGAGGCTTCACGGCCGTGGTCGGTGATTTCGGGCTGGCTGAAAAGATTCCTGTGTATAGGTAAAGTAAATTCCCCCACAAGCCTCCCAGAGGTCTCCTCTTGAAGTGAAGCCCCCAGGGACATTTCCCTTGGGGTGGGGAGGGTCCTCACTTTATATCTTTTTGCCTGGGGAAAATGCCTGAGTGGATGTTTCTGACTATCCGCCCCTGCCCCTGCAGGGAAGGGGCAAGGAAGGAGCCATTGGCTGTGGTGGGTTCCCCATACTGGATGGCTCCAGAGGTGTTGAGGGGTGAGCTGTATGATGAGAAGGTAAGACATTAACTGATCAGAGCCCCAAGGGCCTTCGGAGACTCTTGAGATGCTCTCATAAGGCCCCATCCCATCCAAAATTCTACCAGATATTCAAGATTCCCCAAATCCCCCATGCCCTCACCATCACCCTCCCCACACATGAAAATTGTCAAGACTGCCTCCCCAAATCCTGACCTAGTCCTACAAAATTCTGAAGTGAAAACTGTCAATTGTCCCCCTGACATTATTATCTCATTATTATCTACCCATAGGCTGATGTCTTTGCCTTCGGGATTGTCCTCTGTGAGCTTATCGCCCGAGTACCTGCAGATCCCGACTACCTACCCCGTACAGAGGTGAACATCTCTAGGTTTGAAACAGAGGGAGACTCCAGACTAAGATGGCCCACAATCAAGGAGGGTTCCCTGGAGGTAGAGGACCTCATAGAGGGGTGGGAGGAAAACCCAAGGAAGGGTGACTTAGAGGCCCTGCTTGTATCCTCAGGACTTCGGCCTGGATGTGCCTGCTTTCCGAACCCTGGTGGGGGATGACTGCCCACTGCCTTTCCTGCTCCTGGCCATCCACTGCTGCAGCGTAAGAGCCTCTCTTTCCCTCTCAGCCCCCCTTCCCCCATCTATGAGCTGATATGACTGCTCTAAGGGTCTCCAGTGATAGGAAGAAAACTCAGAAACCCCATAAACCACCTATGTCTACCCACTAGATGGAACCCAGCACCCGGGCCCCCTTTACTGAGATCACTCAGCACTTAGAATGGATCCTTGAACAGCTGCCTGAGCCAGCACCCCTTACCAGGACTCCCCTGACACACAATCAAGGTAAGTAAAGCCAGGTATGTGGTGCACACCTGTAATTCCAGCAATTCAAGAGGCTGAGGCAGGAGGATCTCAAGTTTGAGGCAACTCAGTGAGACTCTCAGCAACTTAACAAGAAACCTGTTTCAAAATAAAAAGTAAAAAGGGCTGGGGATGTAGCTCAATGGTAATGGGTCCATGGATTCAATTCCTAGTACCAAAAAAAAAAAATACCAATCAGGGTAAGTGAGCATGACCTTGACCCAATAAAAGTTCTTTTGCCTGTCAAAATTCAAGGGAGTTATTCAAGGTTAAGTGGATTTAATAATAGTTTGAGAACACTAGGAGTTGGTGTGGGCTGGGGAGAGAGGACAACTCCAAGAAGATGGTTTTCTAATGCTAGAGCCCAAGGGAGAAGAGGTTAAAAAAAAAAAAAAAAAGTGGGTAGGGGTAACATTTCCTCTTTCCAAGAGCACCCTGTGTGACTCCTTTTTCTAATGAAGCACTCAGAAGCTAGGATCAAATGCTAAGAACGGTGATCACAGACTTCTCTGTCTATAGGGTCTATTCCAAGAGGTGGTCCCTCTGCCACGCTTCCAAGACCAGACCCCCGGCTCTCCCGAAGCCGGTCAGACCTCTTCCTGCCCCCATCACCAGAATCACCCCCCAACTGGGGGGACAATCTGACACGAGTCAACCCCTTCTCACTACGGGAAGATCTCAAGGGTGGCAAGATCAAGCTCCTGGACACACCCAACAAGCCGGTCACGCCTCTGCCCCTTGTTCCACCATCACCACTGCCCTCTACCCAGCTGCCCTTGGTGACTACTCCAGAGGCCCTGGTCCAACCTGGGACACCTGCCAGACGCTGTCGCTCACTACCCTCATCCCCTGAACTCCCTCGACGTATGGAGACTGCACTGCCAGGTCCTGGCCCTCCCGCTGTGGGTCCCTCGGCTGAAGAAAAGATGGAGTGTGAGGGCAGCAGCCCTGAGCCAGAACCCCCAGGACCAGCTCCCCAGCTGCCCCTGGCGGTGGCCACAGACAACTTTATCAGCACTTGTTCCTCAGCCTCCCAGCCCTGGTCCCCTAGATCAGGACCTCCCCTCAACAACAATCCCCCAGCTGTGGTGGTGAACTCCCCACAAGGCTGGGCGGGGGAGCCCTGGAACCGGGCTCAGCATAGCTTGCCCCGGGCAGCAGCCCTGGAGAGGACAGAACCCTCACCACCCCCTTCAGCTCCCCGGGAGCCGGAGGAGGGGCTGCCCTGTCCCGGCTGCTGCCTTGGCCCTTTCAGCTTTGGTTTCCTGTCCATGTGCCCCCGCCCCACCCCAGCTGTCGCCCGCTACCGCAACCTGAACTGTGAGGCGGGCAGTCTCCTCTGCCACCGAGGGCACCATGCCAAGCCACCCACGCCCAGCCTGCAGCTGCCTGGGGCACGCTCTTAGCAGTGGGGCCTGTGATCTCAGGCCTCCAACTTTGGCCTTCAGGACACCCTGTAAGGACAGAGCACACTTGCTGGACAATGCCAGCCCCAGATGGGCTGACTGGCTCTTCTCCCCGTAGGGGAGCCTCAGCATGGACTCGAGGGACAGAGCACTTCCTATCCAACCCCTGGGCTCACTCTCCCAAGGGGATCACTGAACCAGACACAGCATTGCTGACACACGAGACTAACACGTGCAAATTATTTAAAAATATTTCAATAAAAACTGCCTGGCTGGCTCCGGGCCGCCCCATCCACTCAGCCCTTGCGCCCTGCTCCCCCCACCCATTTCCAGTATGGGAGGTTCTTGAGGGGGGTCAAAGTCCCTTCTAGAGGCTTCTTTATCCTCTTCCTGGGATCAGTCCAGTTTCTGGAACAGGTTTTCAAGCAGGCTTGCTAGAAGTGTCAGGTGTGGATCAGTCCTTAATTGGCAATGCCCACACTTGGGATGCCTGGGGATGACAATCTTGGATGTGCAGGCCACAGGTTAGGGATCAAAGTCACAAGCTCTTGTTAGCATGAGTGTCTGGAAGGGTAAAGCATCAGTGAGCTCCAGAGTTGACTGTCACCAAACCTTCATCCACCTTTTGCTATCTTTTCTCCAGCTCTCTGGACAGCCACATCACAAGACTTTCTGCCCAACCTACCCTTACATAAGCAGACCAAGTCATCAGAGGCTGAGGATGTCGAACCCAGGAACAAGTTTCCCCTCTGTCCCGTCCCTGGATTCCCATGCCTCAGCCCCATCTCTCATGCTTACCCCATTCATTGCAAAGAATGGTCCCCATCTGGAAACCTGAAAGATGACTGCTCACAGATGAAGGGAAGGGAACTTGTACATGTCTCTGACTGTGTATACCACCATGAATATCCTTTTTGTATCTTGATGCATCTTGAGTTTAAGGACAAGATTTAGAATGATTAGAAGTGGGAAATGCTCTGGACCCCTTCTAATCCATCCTACCATCTCTCATTTTGCTATGCATAAAACTTAGCCTATGTCCATATCTGGGCATGGTTCAGAGGCAGATTTCTAGACTCCAGCTAGAAAAGGCTTTAAGTCCAGGGCAGAAAAAAATTGCCCAAATCTTAAAAATGAAAACTCCAGATAGGGAACATAAGGATGTGGCCACTCTGTTTCACAGTCCTTGGGTGTGATTCTCAAAGCTACTCCACTGCTCCCTTGTTCACTTCCCTGGGATGGCTCTTATGCCCCAAGTGGCCTGGACTGAGAAAGTATGACCCCAGTTTGGGCAGCCTTGTCAAGGGATGGGGAGTCAGAATGCAGGTGTGAAGCCCTAGCTAAATTCTCAGCTTCTCCCTTTGAAAGATGACATGGATCCCAACCTAGTAATTTTTTTTTAATTATGCCAGGGACTTCTAGACACCAAAGATAGAACAGAGAATAAGACTGCTCTAAAGTTATTAATCAAATGGGGGAATTTAAAAAATAGGCAGTTACAGTATTGATTTATAGAAGAAATTTTGGAGCTGGAGTTGGGGAAGAAATTTTTTTACTGTCTTTATGAGGGGATTATGGAGTTCAAAATGCCAAAAAGTCCTCACCAACTTACCCATAATTATGTAAACCAGAAGTCCTCTTTTGGTCCTTATTAGAGGTTAAGCTAATCCAATATGAATTGAAACCATCATGTGAAAATATAGGTTCTCCGCTGAACTGATTCTATGAGATTCAGAGAAACCAGAGATGTGTAGATAATGATGAGAAATATAGGAGAAAATCAAACCCTAGGAAAAGGCCTATAAACTTTGGCAAAGGGAGATGTGCCCATCTTTGGTACATGACAGCTCATCAGTGACTTGTTCCTGCATCCTTCAAGTGCCACTCTGCAGATGCAGTCTCACTCTTTAGTTCACCTCCCAGCTTGATAGGAATTTCCACTGTCCTTTGGAGGGGAGCTGCTATGTGGACTGTTCTGGTCCCAAAGAACCAGTTATTATGATCCAACCCACCAAATCTGGTACCTCGAAGTCAAAGAGCTGTTAAGCAGCCCATAGGCAGACCAGCAAGATGAGACACAAAGTAGAGATTATAAGTTTCAGCTCTCATGACAACTCTAATCAGTTAGTAGAAGCCACCTGGAACACAGGACTGAGAAGACACAGGCCGTTTTCAAGTTCAGTGGCAGAGAGTGTTGTGATTATCAGTATTTGCCATGGAAAAGTAATGCCATGGCATGTATGCCAGGTGTGCACTGCCATTCCTGATTTGATGACATACCTCCCTTCATCTAACAATGCCCCTTCGTTCTGTGGATAAGGGTATGCTTACTGAGTAATCACGTCTACTGAATGTGGCCAGGTTGGAGGATAGAGATTTACAATAGTTTTGGCTCTCCTCCCAAGTCTGACGAGTAGATGAGAAGTAAAAGCAGCGATTTTCCTTTAGTGTCCATCCCACTGGACAGCAATGGCCTACAAAGCAGAGAGTGCAACATCACAACCCCTAGAACCTAGAATGAAAGTGACTACTCACAATCTAATTGCTAACAACATTCCCCTAAGTCTAATCTAGGCACCTTAATGGACTTCTAGTCCTTGATCTTTTTTCCTCTCCTGGAAATGCCTTTCATCTGCATATACAGTTAAAAATGAAAAAAAAAAAGTCATTTAACATATATTTTTTTTCTTTTTGGAAGTGGGGATTGAACCCAGGAGTGCTTAACCACTGAATCCCAATCTTTTTTATTTTTTTATTTTGTAACAGGGTTTTCCTAAGTTACTTAGGGCCTCTCTAAGTTGCTGAGGTTGACCTCAACTTATAATCCTCCTGCCTCAGCCTCCTGAGTCTCTGGGATTGCAGGTGTGTGCTAGCCACCATGCTAGCTAACAACATTTCTTAACAATCTGGGAGGTTTATTTTAGTTGGACTGGTCATTATCCCCAATTTCTGAAAGATTACAGTCTACTCCAACAGTTTGATTATCCTCACCTAGGCCCCTGTATTTGGTCAACAGGCCTCTCATTTGTTTCTTCTTCTCATTTGCTCCCTAAAGCATTCCCCACTGCCCATCAAAACTTCATCACACTCCTCCAGCCACTAGCTGCCTCCCCTCTCTACTCTTCCATAAGGAAACAACCTTCCTCTTTTGCTCAGTCCCTATTTTGTAAATACTCTCCACTTTCCGCCTTCCCACCTCAAAATTTCTGTCTCTGTTCTTCTTTTCCTGATTATCCATAAGAAATAGACATCTCTCTTTAACATCCTATGTTCCAATCTGTTCTCATAATCTTAACCCAACTCTCTCCAATGATTTGATTCATCAGTCCTAACTCTATCACTTAAAAGTCAGCTGGGTTGGGACTGGGGCTGTGGCTCAGTGGTAGAGTTCTTGCCTAGCATGTATGAGGCACTCGGTTCAATTTTCAGCATCACGTATAAACAAATGAATAATAATAATAAAAAAGTCCATCAACATCTAAAAAAAAATTAAACAAAAAAATCAGCTAGGGGGCTGGGGTTGTGGCTTAGCGGCAGAGGACTCGTGTAGCTCGTGCAAGGTCCTGATTCGATCCTCAGCACCACATAAAAATAAATAAAATAAAGATATTGTGACTAACTAAAAGTCACAATATCTTTATTTTATTTATTTTTATTTTTTTATTTATTTTAATAAATCATCTAGGTATGGTGGTGTACACCTGTAATCCTAGTTAGTAGGGAGTTGGAGAAAGGAGGATCTCAAGTTTGAGGCCAGCCTCAGCAACTCAGCAAGACCCCCAGCAACTTAGCAAGACCCTGTCTCAAAATTTAAAAATTTTTTATAAAAAGGGCTGAGATTCAATCCCCAGCACAGGGGTTGGAGAAGTGGGTAGGCTAAAATGCAAAATAGAGCTGAGGGCCTGATGATACACACCACCAATGCCAGCTACTCTGGAGATTAAAGAAGGAGGATAGCAAGTTGGAGGCCAACCTAGGCAACTGTCTCAAAATAAAATTTAAAAAAATGTCTGGGGATGTAGCTCAGTGTTTAGCTAGCATTTGCAAGGCCATGTGTTCCATGTTTAGTACTACAATAAAAAAATTTAAAAAGTGAGTTTTGCTTTTATGGTACAGAAGATCAAGCCCAGGCCTTCACACATCCTGGGTAAATGCTCTACCACTAAGCTATATCCCCAACCTGAAAGTGAGTTTTTACCAGTCTAGTGTAAGAGATAGACAATGGAACAAAGGGATGAGTTATTGAATGATGGACTCTAGAACATGAGATGAGTAGGGAGATAAATGAGGATAGGAAACAGCTGATGGGAAGAAAGGAAACAGGAGTCCCCAGAGTGGAGGAGGCTTCAGTGGGGTGAAAGAAGTAAAAGCCTGAGCAGTTGTGATCAGAGCAGAAGTCTGCAACCGATGTTACAGCAGAGCAGTATGGGTTGCAGCTATAGGAATGGGTGGCAGCACTGTCAAGGGACTGTGGGCCATAGTAGATAAGAAGGTTAAAAAAAATAAGGGCTGGGATGGGTGACTACATTTAATCTTGCTGCTTTAAACCTGGAGAAAACATTTAGATGCCCCCTGAGCAAAATAGACCCCAACCCCCACCATAGTCCATGAAAACTCCAGTCCCCTCAGGCCTGGCACCCTGCCTAGAACCTCAGCCTGCTTCTGCACAGCCTTTTCTCTTTTAGGTGTCCCTTTACCCACCTCTACATACTGGCTGGGCTCCTGCTTTGAAAGTGGATGGATACCCCATCCTGGTCCCTTAAACCACATGATGGGTGCCACGTGTGCCTGAGAACTTTAGCTATCTTGCCCCACCTCCAGACTGCACCTAGTGTTAGTCAGTAGTTCTTAACTTTTAGGGGGATCTCTGATGTATTGAAAATTAATTAAAGCTGCCACCAAGTCTTTAGAAAACTGTACAAACAACCAATCCCACATACAAATTCAAGGTGTTCCTAGATCCGTGCTGTCGATGTCAACCAGATGAAAACTAATTTTGCCATGCTTCTTTAAACAGTGTGATTTGGACTGCTGGCTGCTACCCACTCCTCACCAGGATCTGCCTTAGAGCTAGGGGAGACCCCTAAATCCAGTATGCTGCTTGATCTTTCTCCCCATTGGCCAAGGTTGCATAGCTCAGGCAGCCACTTTCTGCTTCAGTGCCCCTTTCCTGAACAATCCACTGATCCCTGGGAGCTAGATAGAGCCCTGACACAGTGTTTCCTTGCTTCAGTCCATCCTTCACAGACCACCTCTCCCACCTCTCTTCTCCCAGAGCAGTTACCTTGTGGAGAGCATGTAAAGAAGGGTTTCAGTGTGTCCTGCATGTTGTGTATGTTGTGTAGCCTCTCCTGCAAGGCCCTCCTCTGGTCCTCCTCCCTTTGCAAAGTCTCCTGGGTCTTCTCCTTGTCCAACTGGCAGTCCTTTAGCTTCCCCTCAGCAGCCTGGCGATTTTCCTGCGCCACCTGTAGCACTTCCTGACTCTGGGCCAGCTTTCTCTTGGACTCTTGCAGATTCTCTTCCTTCTGCTCCAGCTGAGTTATCCTTAGGTGAAGCTGTTCCTGAAGGCTGCTATTAGTGTCTTCCAGAACACTGCTCACCTGCTGGAGTTTCTGAGATACCTGCAGATCTGGTTAGCCATAAAAAGAGATTTGGAGGGCATCTTCTCCAGCCAGACCCTAATGTCCTGAAATATTTTTATGAAACTTTTCGCATAACAGGCTAAAATATAAGACCTGATTGCCTAAAGCTTAAAGAGATACTGGATTAGATAAGGACTGAGGGGGGGGGGTTGAGACAGGGCACTGAAAATAGACCCAGCAGGAAACCGAACCAAAAGCTGAGGATGTAGTGGTAGTGACTATGAACTCTTCTGTGAAGGGGACTATGGGGGAGAGGAGAGAAGTAGTTTGAGGTAAGTGGGAAATGGGGCAGCCATACTCACAGCGGGCTCCCAGGCAGATGGCAGCCACCCCTAACAGCAGGCAGGTGAGGAGCAAGCTGAACAGGAGGTATCGCAGGCAAGCTGGACTACCTTAAAGGACAGGGATGAAGGGCAGTCAGTCCCAGGAAACAATTTACAGACTGAGGGCATGGGCAGCAGCGGAGATTCCAGAGGAGGACATTCTTAAGAGAAGGGCAAAGGAGCAGTGTGGTGGGGTTTTTCGGATGGTGGGAGGTTTTGCAGGTAGAGGAGAGAGGGAGTTCTAGAATGTGGGTTGGGGATTTGTAATTGGTAAAGTGAGTTGAGGCGCATTGCCTGGTAAAGGGGAACTAAATCTCAGAAAAAAGAGGGAAAGGGGATGACAGGATTTGTATATTGGGACCAAATGAATGGTGGGTAGTGATCTGGATGGACCCGTCTTGGAATAATCCCTACCGGGATGTGGTTTAGGGGGCAGGCAGGGGGGTCGCGGTGCTGAGCGAGCTATCTCAAGGCTGCTCCCTGGGCTCATCCCCACAAAGAACCGAACGGGATGGGGATCAGCGCTCAACCCCCTGCTCCCGGGCCTCAGTCCCACCCGTTGGCACGTCAGGGTCGCCACCCTCCAAAGCATGCAGGAGGGGAGAACGCCTGGGGCTGGAAGGGGACTATACCCACAGGGGAGAAGCCTTCCAACAGGCGGCGACGTCACGGAGCTCCAGGTCGCAGTTAGCTGCTCTGACTTAAAACCTGCGAAGAGCAACGTCCAGTGTGAAAGCCCCAGATCACGCCCCTTCTCCGCAGCTCGCCCCACACCGGGACTCTGGGTTGCCCCGAGACACCCTCTGTCACTGCTCCCGGACACCCGCATCACTCCCGGAGTCCCTCTGCTCGCCCTTCCCCCCCTCCCCGCTCCCGCGACTCTCTCAGCTACCTCGGGTCTCGGTTCATCCCCACCCTCCCCTCCACTCCCTCCCAGTCTCCCTTTATCCCTTTATCGTTACCTCAGGGGCCCTTATCTGCCTGCCCGCAACCGCCACCCCACATTGCTCTCTTCCCTCTCCCTCCTCCGGCTCCCATTTCCCCCCAGAACCCATCTCCCACAGGGCTGCCCTGAGTCTTCCTCCAGCACTTATCAGCCACCCTCTCCCCCTCCTCCCCCCACACACTTGTTCCCCTGGGATCTCCACCTTGCCCCTGAGACTTTTCTTCCCCTAGTTCCCATTTATCCTACTCTCTTCTAAGAACCACCCTCCTCATTTCTCCAAGGCCTTGTCCTCCCAAGATTTCTGTGAACTCCCCAGCTCAAGAGAACCCCATAAACCCATCCCCAGGGCTCTCCATACCTGATTTGTCCCCTAGCCCAGAGGAGGCCAAGCCGGAGGGCCCCCCTGGGACTGAGGGCACTTGGACATTTTCATAGGTGAGTTCCCCATCCTCATAGGCCTCTGGGTCTGGGGAGAAAAAGAACCAAAGTGGAAGTCAGGTGTGGTCTGTGGGATGAGGGTGGGTTGTGAAAGGGGATAGGATGGAGGAGTTCCATGTTCCCCCCTTACCCTCTCCTAACTGGCTGGAGACAATCTTTTTCAGAGGTGCCTTCACGAACCGCAGGTCTGCATAGGTGATAGCGTCAGCCATGGTCCTGAGCACCTCTGCAGGCTGGAGTCTCCCCTCTCATCCACAGGACCCAAGCCTCCCTGGCCACTCTCCTCTCTCCACACTCTTAGATTCTGTGATCTCTGTGATTGCACTTCTTAGCTCTTTGCCCTCCCACTTAACAAAAGAGGAAGATGTGAATGAGCCTCTGACAGATGGGCTCAATGAAGCAGAAGTCATCTTGGGTTAGAGCCAAAAGGGCAGGAGGGAAACACTCAGGTCCAGCGCGCAGGCCAGGGGCTAGGCCTGGCCCTGGGTCAGCCCTGTATCCCCCCACTCTTCATGTATCCTACTGGGGGCTCCACACTGCTGGGCTCCAGTTATCTTCTCTGATTTGCCCTCTACTCCTGACTGCCCTCTACTGGGGCTTGTTGATGTGTGGTTGGAGTTCTTTTGTGCCCAACTGACACCAGACAATCTTTCCAATCATTGTTCCAGAAGGAGGTTTCATCTTCCCCATCAGATTGTGTCTCCTAGCATGGAGCCTTAGCTCTTTGTCATTCTGGGGTTTCCAGTAGGTCTATGAGTGAGTCCCTGATTTGGTGACTCAAATGAGTGTCATATCCCCATCAACTTGGGGGCTTTCAGGCTGTACCCATCTTCTCTCTTGTGTAACCCTCAGAACTGCCACACAGAGCCATAGCTAGGGCACCTCTGGGGAAATCTGTGGTAGCACTGATCTTCATTCACCCTGTGAGGGCCAGGAAACCAGTGAGCCTGGAGTTTCACAAAGATCAAGTGACAGCTTCCTAGATCCACAAATAAGGCAAAGAAATTTCTTCTAACTTTTTTTGTAAAGTTTTTATTATTTATTTATTTTTGGTACTGGGGATTTGAACCCAAGGGTACTTTACAACTGTGCTACATCCCCAGCCTTTTGAAAAGGGGTCTCACTAAGTTACTCAGGATCTCGATAAGTTGCCCAGGCTAGCCTTGAACTTGTGATCCTCCTGTCTCATCCTCCTGAGTTGCTGGGATTACAGGCATGTGCCACCATGCCCAGTAAAATTCTTCTTTTAAAAGGTCTCAGGGAAGTAGGGGAGGGGAGGGGGGATAGTAGAGGATAGAAAAGGCAGCAGAACACATGAGACACTAGTATGGCAATATGTAAAACAGTGGATGTGTAACCGATGTAATTCTGAGTCTGTATACGGGGTAAAAATGGGAGTTCATAACCCACTTGAATCAAATGTATGAAATATGATATGTCAAGAGCTTTGTAATGTTTTGAACAACCAATAATAAAAATTAAAAAAAAAAAAACAGAAAAAAAAAGGAAGTGATGGCACATGCCTATAAGCAGGAGGATCACAAGTTCAAGGCCAGCCTGGGCAACTTATTGAGTCCTTGACTCAAAAGATAAAAGGGCTGGTGATATGACTCAGTGGTAAAACACCCTGGTTTAAATCCATAATATTAAAAAAAATTCAAAAGAGATATAACTCAGTGGTAGCATGCCCAGGTTCAATCCCCAGTATTGCAATTAATTAATTAATTAATTAAAATGAAAGGTATTGAGGGCTGGGGTTGTAGCTCAGTGATAGGGCAGAATGTGACACTCTGCATCAAAACCCCAACATTAAAAAAAAAATAACCTCCCAACTTTGTCCCTTTATACCCATCCCCAAGGAAAAGGGACATTTGTGTATAGGAGAGACCCTCAGAAATWGGGATGCCCTCCAAGGTGGTAAGGACCTGGCTGATGGAGCAGAGAGGGAAACCAGGGGAGCAGAGAAGGAGTTGCTGAGCAGCAGTGCTCAAGGGTGCTCCCTAATGTTCTTTTACCAGGATTTGACTCTCCCAGGAATGCCAAAAGGGCTTGCCTCAGCGGGTGGGAAACAGCTGAGACCAGACAGGAATGGAGTAGGGAAAAACCCAGTCCCTTTCAGAGCACATCTGCCCCCTCAGAAACCCCTCCTGCAGCTGTGGGGAGAAAAAGGAAGGTCCTCACCACATGCTAATAGCTCATATGACTGGTGGTGTGTGTCAGGCTCTGTGATGGGCCGCAGAGCACACGGTGCACAGCAGCACTGTCCAGCCTGCCCCAGAGAGGGTGGCCACTGAGGCAGAATGCTACACCTGGCACCTGAGGATGTGTCTGAGGAGAGGTAGATGTATGTGTGTGCGTGTGTGTACTTGTGTATGCACACACATCCCCAGCACTTTGTGATCTGTTAGGGGTGTCATGGGAGGTGAGTGTCTATGTTGCAGCCCACTGGGAGGATAAATGGATCCTGTGGCCCAGGAGGTGCCTGTGAAAGCTGTTACCTTTTGCCACCACAGGGAATGATGGGCCATTTTCAGAAAAATCATCATGGGTCATGGCAACAGATTCTACAAGTATTTCCTTTTTGAGGTTCACTGTTTCCTAAGGCGTCCCTGCAGCTGTTAACGGTCCTTGCTTGACTAAAGTTTCCAACAACCCAGTCCCCTCCCCTGGGCACCCTGGCATGGCCTCCCCCAGATACAGACAGTGGTGTGTTCTGGTGACTCCCTGGGGGCCTCCAGGGGCTGTGATAGTGGGAAGCTACAGAGCAGCTGGTGCCAGGGTGGGTGGGGATGGTCAGGGCACTGCCTCTATGGGGTACAGGGGTGACAGTAGTCAGCATGTGAGTAAATTCTATTTATAGGAATTCCAAAAACTGTAGAAAATGTCCTAGTTTTCAGAACCACTGCACAGGTGAACATGACCTGGATGCCAGGTAAAATGACAAAGTCAAGCTTCCGGTATGCACTCAAAAAAGAGAATGGGCATGCAGTCTAACATGACCTTTGAAGAGGCTTAAAAAGGGGTTACCCAAGTGGAGCTGGGCTGGGCTAAGCTGTCCATCCACATCTCCACATCTTCATCAGACTTGGTCTGTACATCTCTCCTCCGTAGCTGTTTTGGTGACAGTTACATATTTCAAGACATTCTGCATTCCATTCCTTCTTATAGTACTTTGTGGTCCTTTTGAGTGAATAGGGTAAAAGAAGAGAATTCTTGCCCTTCTCTAGGTATGTCACATAGGCCTTTGCAATACTCACATTCACATTACCTTTCTAGGCTGGACATCAGACATGATGCCTGTGGCTTGGAGGTGCACTCCTACTGTCCAAGTTTCAGTAACAGTGTTTTTTTTTTTTTATTCTGTTTTCAGTTGTAGATGAACACAATACATTTATTTTGTTTAATTATTTCTACGTGGTGCTGAGGATCAAACCTAGTGCCTCACACATGGTAGGCAAGTGCTCTACCGTGTTGTGTGTTTCAACCTTTCCAGGACCATAATGTCATCATCTGAGATCTGGGAGGACCAACACCAAAGTCTACTTCTTGCAGTCTCTTGGTTGTTCCACTGCTTATTGTGGGAAACAGGTTGTGAAGGTCTGTAAGGGGAGGGGGCCCAACTGTGAAGGCATGGGGTGGGATGGCATGGGGAAGAGCTCCTCTCTGTCAACTTTGATAAAGTCTAGTCAACATCAGGAAGTCAGGAAATTCTCCTAAGACTCTGAAAGTCAGGTTATACTTCATCTTTACTGTAACTCACTGGCTTCTAGAAAACCCGAGTCAGGTGACAAGGTAGACAGAATAATGACCTCCCTAAAACATTCACACTCTAAATCCTGGAACTGGCAAATACATTACTTTACCTGATAAAATGTAGATGTGACTTATGTGAAGGTCTGTTAAATGGGAGGTCATCCTGTTTAATTCTAGCAGGCCCAGTCTAAATACATAGTTTCTTTTTTTTTTTTAATTTATTTTTAGATGTTGATGGATCTTTATTTTATTCATTTCTTTATATGTGGTGCTGAGAATTGAACCCAGTGCCTCACACATGCTAGGCAAGCACTCTACCACAACCCCCACCCTCACATAGGTTCTTTTTTTTTTTTTTCATTGAATTTCTCCGCTCCTCAGTATTCTCTGGTAAAACCATCATTATCGTTATCATCTCAAAAGGATGTTGTAGGATTAATGCAAAGTGCTTAGAATGGTGTATGTTACCAATATTATTCTAAGAATTTTATAATTTTGTAATTGGAGATTGAAATTGTGCTGGGCATGGTGGCACCCTCCTGTTATATTAGCAACTCTGGTGGTCCAGATGCCAGCCAGGGCATCTTAACAAGATCCTATCTCAAAATTAAAAAGAAAAAGACCTGGGGATATAGCTTGGTGGTAGAGTGTTCCTGAATTCAATCCCCAGTATTGTAAAAAAAGAAAGGAAAAGAGGAAAATTTGAAATTGATTTTTACCATTTGAGATGTTTATTACTAGAGTAAAATATGATTTGTTTTCATTATATTTATCATGGTTCCAGTTACTCTCCCAATTGCATTAAGTCTTTATTACTAGAGTCTTTTGGATTTTCTGGTAATACAATCACTTCAGCAATTCAAAGAACTTTATGCTTTCTTTTCAGATGGTTATAGTAATTCACTGTCTTGTCTTACTGCATTCAGTAAAATTTCCAAAATATGTTAAATAAGAAGAATGGCAGACATCTCTGTCTAAATTCTTCCTGAAATATATCTATTTCCTCTAAATTTTAAGTTGGTTGCTGAGGAATTTTAAACTGTAATTTCTTATCATTCTTTAATTTTCCCTTTTATCTGCAGGAAATAAATAAAATTAATAACAACTAGTCTTGACGATTTTTATTCTCTTTTAGGCCCCTTAATTGTGCTTGCCTAAGGTTTACTTTTTTTTTTTTTTTTTGATACTAGAGATTGAACCCAGGGGAGCTACATCCCCAGCCCTTTTTATTTTTATTTTTTTAATAGTAGACAGGATCTCTCTAAGTTGCTGAGGGTCTTGCTAAGTTGCTGAGGCTGGCCTCAAACTTGCAATCCTCCTGCTTCAGTCTCCTGAATTTATAGGCATGGACCACCATGCCCAGCTACCTATTTTATGATCCCTTCAAAATAACAACTTTTTGGACTTATTTATCTTTTTTAAAATTTTGTTTTTCATTTCTAAATGTTAGCTTCTGTCA